TGGAGACGTGCTTGCAATTTACTGAAGAATAGCGCCCTTGCGTTGTAATTTCCTGCCATTTGCTCAAGAGTCGCGCCCGTTGTGGCCCCATTTGCCCTTCGTGGCCCCGCTGTCGCCGTTTGTGGCCCCCTCACTGTCCTACGTGGCCCAGTTGCTACCCTCAGTGGCCCCATCGTTGCCTTCTGTGGCCCCGCATTATCTGCCCTTCGTGGCCCCCGCTCGTTCGCGCTCTTCGTGGTCCCATACGCATTTCCTTCGTGTCCCCGCTGTCGCCCTTCGTGGCCTACTTCGTGTCCTTCGTGGCCCTGCTGTCGTTCTCTCTCGCTCTCGCTTTCGCTCGTCGTCGCCGTCGTTGTCGCCGTCGCCGTCGCCGTCGTCGTCGTCGTCGTCGTTCCTCTTGGTGTCGGGTCGACGGTCCGCGGCCGCCCCGCCGATCAGCGCTGCCGCTGGCCAGGCCGACGGTCCGCGGCCGCCCCGCCGCTTGCCGGGACCCGGCCGCAGGGAAGAATGGTATACCCCCCAAAAGGGGTTCAATCGAAGACGAAGAGGGCGGGTATCGAGGGTTTGGGAAATACGCGTTATTGGACACTCGAGCAGATAAGGGCAAAAAGGCTTAAACTGATTGTTGTTGGTGATGCTGCTACTGCTGATGAGGATGCTGAGGAGGATGATGCTGATTATGATGATGCTGATGATGATGATGATGATGACGCTGATGTTGCTGATGATGCTGACGACGATGATGATGCTCATGCTGATGCTGATGATGCTGATGATGAGGCTGACGATGATGATGATGATGCTGCTGATGATGCTGCTGCTGATGCTGCTGATGATGATGTTGATGTTGTTGATGATGACGATGGTGATAATGACGATGCCGATGATGATCAGGATGATGCTGATGTTGATGACAACGATAATAATGCTGATGATGATGTTGTTGATGGTAATGATGGTGATGATAACGATGCTGCTGCTGCTGATTATGACGACGATGATGATGATGATGATGATGATGATGATGATTGTGATGCTGAAAATAATGATGCTCATGTTCCTGCTGCTGATGAGAATTATGATGATGATGCTGACGATGATGATGGTGATGATGTTGATGCTGATGATGATGCTGATGATGATGGTGATGTTGATGCTGATGATGATGGTGATGATGCTGATGCTGGTGCTGATGATGATGATGATGATGATGCTGATGCTGATGCTGGTGCTGATGATGATGAGGAGGAGGATGATGATGATGATGATGCTGATGATGATGATGATGCTGCTGCTGATGATGATGCTGATGATGATGATGATGCTGATGCTGGTGCTGATGATGATGATGCTGATGCTGATGCTGATGCTGATGATGGTGATGATTTTGATGCTGATGATGATGATGATGATGATGATGACGATGATAATGATGATGATGATGATGATGATGCTGATGATGATGATGCTGATTATGATGATGCTGATGCTGATGATGACCATGATGATGATGCTGCTGATGATGATGATGCTGATGCTGATGCTGATGATGATGATGATGATGATGATGATGATGATGATGATGTTGGTGGTGGTGATGATGATGATGATGATGGTGGTGATGATGATGATGATGATGCTGATGATGATGATCATGATGCTGCTGATGATGATGATGATGATGATGATGGTGATGCTGATGATGATGATGCTGATGCTGATGATGCTGATGATGATGCTGATGATGCTGATGATGATGTGATGATGATGATGATGACGATGATGATGATGATGATGATGATGATGATGATGATGATGATGATGAATGATGATGATGATGATGATGATGTGATGATGATGATGATGATGATGATGATGATGATGATGATGATGATGATGATGATGATCTGATGATGATGATGATGATGATGATGATGATGATGATGATGATGATGATGATGATGATGATGATGATGATGATGATGATGATGATGATGATGATGATGATGATGATGATGATGAGAGGAGGAGGAGGAGGAGGAGCAGGAGGAGCAGGAGGAGGAATAGGAGGAGGGGAGGATGATTTGGAGGAGGAGGACGAGGCGGAGGGGGAGGAGGATGCGGATGAGGGGGATGGGGAGGAGGACAAGCTAGGTGCGCTCGCGTCATATCTGACATCCTACCCCTCCCTCCTATCCCTTACCATGGCGCAGATTCCCTCTCTACTCGCACAGTCGGATGTCGAGCAGGGCAATGATCCCAAAAGAGTACGCGATGCATTGTAGAGCACGGCATGGCATGGCGTAGAAGAGCACCGCAAAGCGTGGTATCAACCTAGCATTGCATTGCATGCCGTGGCATGGCACGGGAAATGACGCCAGCGCTGCAGCGGGAGCACGAGTCGAAACGAGTGGAAGCGCGGAAATGAGGCCAGCGTTGCAGCGGGAGCACGATTCGGAACGAGCGGAAGCACGGAAATGGGGCCAGCGCTGCAGCGGGAGCACGATTCGGAACGAGCGGGGCCCGAAAATGAGGTTGGCGCCTCAGCGAGAGCAGCATGTTGAAAAAATGCAGGCGAAAACCCAACTCCGGGGAAACCTGTGTGTAAAAAAACCGTACGCGGGGGGGGGGGTCGGACACTTACAAACCGTCATCAGGGGAAGAGGGAGAGTAGTATTCATATTGAGGGATGGGGAGGAGGAGGTGGAGGTGGAGGAGAGGAGGAGGAGGAGGAGGAGGGAGGAGGAGGACGGGAGGAGGAACGGAGGAGGAGGAGGAGGAGGAGGAGGCGGCGGAGGAGGAGGGGGAGGATGAGGAGGAGAGGAGGAGGGAGGAGGAGGAGAGAGGAGGAGGAGGAAGAGGAGGAGGAGGAGCAACAGCAAGCCCCTAACGGCAAGAGGAGGCACTGGAGCCGACGCCTCTCGGCGCTGCAGGAACACCGCACGCTCATGTCGGCCGAGGACCACTCGCTCGCCAGCATCCAGGGCGCCAAGGCCGGGGGGCTCCTCCTGTTCCTCCTGCTCCTCTTCCGTTTCCTCCTCCGTCTGCTGCTGCTGCTGCTGCTGCTGCTCCTCCTCCTCCCTCTCTTCCTCCTCCTCCTCCTCCTCGCCTCCTTCCCTCCTCCTCCTCCGTTCTCCTCCTCCGTCCTCCTCCTGCTCCTCCTCCTCCTCCTCCTCCTCCCTCTTCATCCCTCCTCGCCTCCTCCCCTCCTCCTCCTCTGTCCTCCTCCTCCGTCCTACTCCTCCTCGTCGTCGTTGTCCTCATCGTCCTCCCTCTTCCTCCTCCTTTTCTTCCTTCTCCGTCTCCCTCCTCCGTCTCGTCGGGATGTTTCGCATCAAGTATCCTTGCTGATTGCAGCCGCGCTGACACGATACTGCACGCCCTTGTGTACAGAGTGATCGGCAGGATGCGAACCTTGTCCCCGACATGCAGGTCTCGCGTTTCTGGAGTCTCCGATACGTCGAAACTTGTCTTAGGCACAGTGACGTTCTTCTAGCTGCTGTATGGTGGTACCGTGCGCAGACCCTGAAGTTTGGTCTCACCTTGCAAGCTTTCGAGAGTGGGCTTGTGGCTACTGCGGTGGAAACGTCGTCCCATCTGTCGTCGTACGCTCGTCTCGTCAAGATCCGCAGCCTTAAATACATGAGAAACCTCGGCCGCGCAGATTTCTTTCGGGTAGACCTGTGAGGGCCCAGGAGCAGGCGAGGCTGGCCAGGATCCTCAGCAGGAGGAGCAGGATGTTGGCTGCTCTGCGAATGACCTTTCCAGGTAAGGTGTAGATTTTGTGGCGCATGGGGTTGGTGCCCGCTGGCGGGCATGGAGCGGGGGTCAGTGGCTTAACGGACCCGGCTTTGGGGATCCTTCGAACCGCTGCGGGAACCTTACTTGGCGCGAAGCGGTCTGGATCGGTCACTGCTTGGTGGACGACGCAAATGGGTTCTTTTTACGATTCAATCTCGACGTAACGATACCGTCGCTACAGCGCTATTTATTGGTTACTTGTGGCTCTAGGTTCTCTCTAGGTCGCCTGCAGCGAATCGCCAATTCTTGTGTTTTGTCACATGAAGGATGCAGGTTCCCTGGGGCACCTTCTGTGCGATTGCGAGCCTGTCCTAGACCATCCAGTGTCCCAGGACCAACCACTGCCAGATGATGCGATGGTGCGAAGGTCTGAGCTCAGAGGCAACGGGGACTTCGTCGACGACGTTCAGGTGTGATATTCGCTTAAGGTGTTGCATGGGTTGCCGTGTGATCCATGGAGTTGCCCCCTGTCCAAGCTAAGTTCCCTGTGCTTGCCTGACTCAAGCACGTTTCACTGGAGTAATTTGTTCGAGAAGTGCCAGACTGCACTGAAACATACTGGGTTAAACGGGACCCAAGCCGCGCTCAACAGCATTATATGAGCATGTAAGTTCGAGGGTCCCCTGATTTGCTGCGCGGCCCCTGGGCACGGAGGGCGGTGGCGGGTGTTCCGTTGGCGGCACTGCGAGGCAGTATTTATCTTGGGATTTTTGTTGCATTGCTACAAAGCAGTTCTGTCCGATCGCTCACTTCAATTATGAAGCAAACAATCCCTGGCCGACTACTATAGACCCCCTCATCTTTGTTAAAGAGTTCAATGCCGTGCGCGCGCGTTGGTGTAACAAACGCGTTTTGTATGAATTCCGATCAAATCGTACAATGCGGGCCACGCGTGCGCGTCACCGAGCAGTCCGAAATCAATTGTGCAAACAAGACACATTGTATTATCGAGTTCTGCAACCTGGTTTCGATGATGTTTTCCAGGAGATATTCATTTAGATTTCCAGCGCGCGCACGTCGTTACCATCCTCATCAAGACTGTCGTTATCATCATAGCCAGCGCCACCATTGTCAACGTCATCGTAATCACGATCATCCTTGTCGCCACCATCAGTTAAAATTCTGGCTTAAACCAGAGAGTTCGATAGTGTTTTGCAGCGTGCAGTCGAACCAGTTCCAGAAGGTGGAGACCCGACGCCATGCCTTCCGACGCCCCACGCGGTGACTCCGGCACCCAGGTGCAGTCCTCGTTGCGTCAGGCGTTGGCCTGTTTCCCGAAGCCTACCGCCGCGGAGTCCCAGAGCGCCGCGCCGCCGCATGCCGCCCCCACGGGGATCGCCCGCGTCGCCCCCCCGCCCGGGCTGGGCCCGCCGCCAGGCTACATGCCGCAGGAACATCTGCAGCTCGTGCTCGGGAGCCTGCGCGAGCGCCAGCTCAGTGGCGCCTGGCACTGGGACCAAGCCGCGAACCAGCAACCGAAGCGCGCTGGCAGCATGGTCGGCAGCTCGGCCAGCACGGTCGCGAACGTGGCGGACAACATCAATCAGAACGGCAGCCAGGTCGGCAGCGACTCCTCTGGCCAGTGGAGCCAGATCAGTACTGGTTACATAGGCTCGTCCAGCAACCTGTCTAATAGCTTCAACAGCCCGATGGGGCCTGGCATCGCCTGCCCCGAGGAAGCCTCCCCAGGCAGCGTCTCCAGCCTGGGCGCCAGCCTGCACAAACTGCACCAGTGCACGCCGTGCAAGTTCATCCGCGCCCTCCGCGGCTGCCGCGACGGCTCGATGTGCAAGCTGTGCCACGAGCCGCACGAGGAGCTCACGAGGTCCGGAGTGCGGAAGGCCGCGCGCACCAAGGCCCTGCAGCGCCGCGCCATGCTCGAGATGGTGCAGGTGGCGGCGACGGTGCCTGGCCGCCTGCCTGAGACGAATGCGCTGGACAACATGCAGGCATCGGCGTTGCCTGGGCTGCGCGACAATACCAGCTGTGCTCCCTGGCCCAGAAGAACGCCTTCGGTCAGCTCGGCTTCAACGACCATGCCGGGGAGCGGGGCCATCTCCAACCACGGCCCTAGCGAAAGTCCGTCCTCCTACTGCCAGGTGTTCTCCTTCTGAGGTCGGGGACGGCGGTCGGCGCTTCGTGGCCGCGGACTGCCGGGAGCAGCTCAGCTGATGCTCGAGGCACGCGCTGCGCGGTCCAGGGGCTACCTGTGCCGTGCAGCTGACCAGGGCTGCGGCGTCCAATATCCTAGATCCCATTGGGATCTAGGATATCAAAAAAGATTAGAATGAGGATTTTTTAGATTGAATAACAAATCCTCATTCTTCGACGGTCGTGGTGGGTCATGCCATGGCGGGGGTGATGTCGGTCGGCCGCACGGGCAACCTCGCGCAGCAAATGCTGTGAGAGCAGCCGCTGGGTTTTGCCGAGTACAGCTGCGGCCGAGTCGCAGCCCGCCTTTGCGACATACATATATATGTATATATACGTACACACACATATATATCTATATATATATATCAGAGTGAGGGGGCCGAACGGTCATTCACTGCCCCTGGCCGCGTGGCTGAAGTGAGGTTCTGCGGTGCGGATTGTTGTTGCGTTTTGAATTGTTTGTTGTTTGTTGTTTGTTGTCGTCGTCCCACCCGCCACCCACCTGCGGCCCGCGACCCACCCGCGACCCACCCGCGACCCACCCGCGAACCACTGGCGACCCACCCACAAAATCGGCGCCTGTGGCGGGCTTCCTCGCAGCCTCGCAGACTGCCGACGTATCACTCTTATCCGCAACTTCTGGGGGCTTCGGATATATATATATATATATATATATATATATTTGTATATATATGTGTGTATGTATATATACACATATGTACACATACATTTATGTAGATGTTGGTCTCTCTCTCTCTCTCACTCTCCCTCTATCTATGTACATAGATCTATACATAGAGGTCTGGATATAGCCTCGGGCACATCCGCTCCTCAGGGCGTCTATTTCCATCTGCAGCAGGCCTCGCGCGGAGGGTGGGGCCACGGAGGGGAAGAAAAGGGACGAAGGACAAGGGGGGAGGAAAAGGGATGGAGGACAACGAGTGCGGCGGAATGGGAGGGGAAATTCTTGCCGGCACAAGAGTCGACGCTGGCTCGCGCGAGGCTGCTTTGTTTCAGCGAGCGCTTGAAGGGATAATCTTATCGAAGACGCCTACGGCGAATCACCGCCGCCCCCTGCCTTTGTGGAAGCGCCTATGTGGCCGAACGTTGAGGCCAGACCTGCCAAGCTATCGGACCATGTGTTCCCCGAATCGGTTTGGAAAGCCTTCGGGGAACACGTGGGCATCTTGAAGGTCATCTTGGCCGTCTGGAGGCCATTTTGACCCTTTCGGGCCTTCTTGGAGGACGTCTTGGAGGGCTCTTGGACCGTCTTGGAGGCCATCTTGAGCGTCTTGGAGACCTCTTGGGCCGTCTTGGGGGCCTTTTGGGGCCGTGTCTTGGGCCTCTTGGGCGATCTTTGGGGGCACTTGGGCCGTCTCGGGCCGTCGGAAGGCAGAAAAAAAGCAAATGCCACAATCCTTCAAAAACCCATGGGAAATCAATGATTGTGGCCTTTTCGGGCCTTCCCGGAGGCCCTCTTCGAGGCCTCTTGGGCCGTCTTGGGCAATCTTAGGGCCATGTTCGGTCGTCTTGGTGGGCTCTTGGGCCGTCTGACGCCGTCGGAAGCAGTTGGGGGGCCTCTATGGGCCGACTTGGGGCCCTCTTGGACTGCTCCAGGGCCGTCTCGGAGGCCATCTTGGGCGTCTTAAAGGCCTCCTGTGCCGTCTTGGAAGCATCTTGGGGCCGTCTTGGGGCCCTCTTGGGCCGTTCTGGGGCCATCTTGGAGGCCTCTTGGGCGATCTTTCGGCGATCTTTGGGGGCTCTTGGGCCGTCTCGGGCCGTCGGAAGGCAGAAAAAAAGCAAATGCCACAATCCTTCAAAAACCCATGGAAAATCAAGGTTTTTGGCCTTTTCTGGCCTTCCTGGAGGCCCTCTTGGGGGCCTCTTGGGCCGTCTTGGGCCAGCTTCGAGCCAACTTCGGCCATCTTGGTGGGTTCCTGGCACGTCTGACGCCGTCGGGAGCCGTCTTGGGGGCCTTTCTGGGCTGACTGGGAGCCCTCTTGGGGCGCTTCGGGGCCGTCTTGGAGGCCATCTTGGGTGTCTTGGAAGCCATCTTGGGCCTCTTGGGCCGTCTTGGGGCCCTCTTGGGGCCGTCTTGGAGGCCACTTGGGCCGTCGTGGGGCCCTCTTGGGGGCCTCTTGGGCGATCTTGGGGGCCTTTTGGGGCGTCTAGAGCCGTCGGAATGCCGAGAAGAAGCAAATTCCAAAATCGTTCAAAAACCTAAGGAAAATCAATGATTTTGTCCTCTTTGGGCCCTCCTGGAGGACCTCTTGGAGGCCACTTGGGCCGTCTTGGGGGCCTCTTCGGGGCCTTTTGGGCCGTCTTGGGCCGTCTTGGACTCTCTTGGGCCGTCTTGGAGGCCGTCTTGGACCATCTTGGGCGGACTTGGAGGCCATCTTGGGCCATCTTCGTGTTTTTTTGGGATGTCCCGAGCGAAACGGCCGTTTAAGGCATTGACCGCCGCAGTTTCAGGGTTGCCGGCGGAAGAACCAAAACCGAGAGGGTCCAGCACGCCAGGCACCCCTGCGATGAATCGACAGGGGGTGGTGAATTCTTCCAGCGAGCGCTTGGAGGGATAATCTTATTCAGCTGCCTACGGCGAGTCCCGCCACCGTGCCTGGGTTGTGGGTCATAGGCCTAGTGGATGTTCGTTAGAATCTCGTGGGAGGCCTCTCGGGGACCTCTTGGGGGCCGTCTTGGGGCCTCTGGGGGGCCTCTTGGGGGCCTGTTGGGGGGCTCTTGGGCGCCTCTTGGGGCCTGAAGGCTCGGATTTTCGCTTCGGGTTCCCTCTCTAGGGCCCCTCTTAGGGCCGTCTTGGGGCTCTCTTGGGCCGTCTTGGGCGCCTCTTGGGCCGTCTTGGGGCTCTCTCAGGCCGTCTTGTGGCCCTCTTGTAGGCGCCTTGGGCAGTTTTGCGGTGGTCTTGGGGGCCTCTTGGGCCGTTTTGGAGCGTCGAAGAGCCGAAAAGGCGAGAACGCCCAAATCCTTCAGAAATCACGGGAATTCAATGATTTTTGCCTTTCGGGGCCCTCTTGGGAGACCTCTTGGAGGCCTCTTGGGGCGCGCTGGAAGCCTCTTGTGCCATCTCGAGGCCATCTTGGGCGTCTCGGAGGGATCGTTCGGCGACTCGGGGCCCTCTGGGACCGTCTTCGGAGCCTCCTGGGCCGTCATGGAAGCCTCGGAGAGCCCCAGGGACGCGTCATGGCCGCCCAGGGCCCCCCAGGGAGTACGGCGAGTGCGCGCAACGAGGTGCGGCCCGGAGGGGGGGCGGGGTCGCTTCGAAGATGGCAGAAATCATACCAGGCAGCACTTGGCATTCTAGCACGCCTCGACGTGCCATGGGAGGGCACGGTGGTCACCGCCCACCAAACCACCCCAACCCAACCCGAAGGCCCCTATTTGCCCTCCATTTCCAGTGTGTGGGGGGGTCGGGGAACATTGAAAAAGCACATATGGATCCCGCACCCCCCCCAACCCTAAATTCGGGTCTTCGGGTTGGGTTGGGGTGGTCTGGTAGGTAGTCAGGTGGCGGATCATTTTCTTGCCGGCGCGAAAGACGATACTGGCTCTCGCGAGGCTGCTGTGTTCCCTCCGGCGAGCTCTTGGAGGAACAATCTTATAACGCCGTATCACCGGTCTCGGGCATCGGCGGAAGGACGCGTGCGACCAGTGTCATTTTGACACGAGGAATAGGATGTCTCGCGAGGTTGCTGTGTTCCCTCCGGCGAGCTCTTGAAGGAACAACCTTATAACGCCGTATCACCGGTCTCGGGCATCGGCGGAAGGACGCGTGCGACCAGTGTTATTTTGACACGAGGAATAGGATGAGAAGATCAGAGGATCAGAGGATCAGAGGAGGAGGAGGAGGAGGAGGAGGCCACGATTTCTTTTTTGCATACTTCAGTGGGTTAGCACCCTTAGCGCTTCCTAGCTACCGAGGAGGAGGAGGACGAGGAGGAGAAGGAGGAGGAGCAGAAGAGGAGGAGGAGGAGGAGGAGGAGGAGGAGGAGGAAGAGGATTGGAGAATACAAGGAGAGCGCAGAGGCCGGCCAGCATCACCATGGTCGCGATCCGATGCTGTGAGCTCAGTGGTGTCTTCACCCATATGCAGAACGAGGTCTGCGTCGCCGTGGGCCAGTGGGCGCGGGCGCATGCCGCGACTCGACGCCAGATCTGGTGCCGAGGATTGTCTTGCAGTTGGGGGCCCCAAGCCTGGACTCCGCAGTGTGGCTATTGATGCGCATCGCAGGCCCTGGGGCCCTGGCCATGCGCCCGCGCGCCTGGGGGGGGCCGAGGCAGCGGGGGCTTTTGACCAGGTTCCTCCCCCCAGCGGGCGCTCGAGGGTGCTTCTGGGCCCGCCCCCCCCCCCAGGGTCAGGCGGTGGCCCGGGAACGGAACAAAAAAACCCGTGCCTGCAGCAAGCGGGTCATTTCCCGTTGGCCTTCCCCCTTTCCGCCGCCTCCCTCTCAGGAGGGAAGACACACGCAGACGCAATTAATCGTCGATGCTCCAGAAAATATGGGAAAATATGGGCAGTGGGGGGGAAGACAGAAAACAAATCCTTATTTGTGTGTATTTATTTGTGTGTCCCAGGGCCCCTCCTCCCTCGTCGTCCCTCTTCCTCATCGTTCTGCAGTTCTCGCCGAGTTCTCTCGCTCGGTCCAGCGGGGGGCCGCCGTCCCTCCTCTGCCCGGGAGCCCCCAGGCGGTGCGGTGATCACACCGTGGGGTTGAGTCCGTGGGGATCCGGGCTTGCCGCGCGGTTTTGGGGCGCGGCTCATTATCCGAGGGTGTCTCGGGCGATTGAGGCCTCCAAGGTTCCAAAACCGTGTGGTGACGAACCGAGCGGTGAGGTCGTTGGGGATTTCGAGGTCACCACTCGGTCCGTGACCGCGCGGTTTTGGGGCCCCGGATCTACGCTCGTCCCCTGTATCTCCTCCCGCTACAGGGCCACCGTGTTACCAAAACAGGTCGGTTGCGCGAAGCGTTTTTTATGTGTCTCTCCTGGCGAGAGAGGGCGTGTGGCCTTTGCGTTCCGCACGATGTTTTAGACCGCGGCGGGAGTGGCGTCCGCTGGAATTGCAGCTGGTGGCCCTCTTCGTCCTCGTCACCGTGTTCCCCCCCTATCATGAACGCTCCCACGTGCGTCCTCTCCTTCCTAACCTCCCCGCTCCGAATTCGTCTACAGTCGCTGAGGGCTCTAGCCCGCTCGCGCCGGCCTTACGGGGCACGCCCTTGGCCGACGCCAGCGTGCTCAGCACCCCCCTTCTCTCTCTTCCCTGTCCTCTCTCCTCTCCGGGTTCGTGCACGTCGGCCCCCCCCCCCCCTCTTTCAAAGTATAACAAGCGTCATCAGCATGAGCAACACTCGGAGGTCCTCGCGGGTTTCTTCTTGGATCGGCGCGGACCTCCGTTTTTTTTTTTTTTTTTTTTTTTTTTTTTTTTTTTTTTTTTTTTTTTTTTTTTTTTTTTTTTTGTGTGTGTGTGTGTGTGTGTGTGTGTGTGTGTGTGTGTGTTTGTTTCTTACTTCCTCTACGTGTCTCCCACTCTCCGCTCTTCTTCGTGGCCTGCTCTACCTGCTTCCTCGAGACGCCTTTGGGGGTCAGCAATGCCCGGCAGCTCTGGCGCGTCGGTGCCGATGACGTCGTCGCCGTCATTATCGCCCGCCCGAGTGAAGGATCTGCATGATGAGGGTCGTCGTGCCGCTGTGCCATGTGAGTTTTGCCAAGAAGTTGCGGGTGGATGGATGGGGTGTTAGCTTGAACGTTAGAGTTGGCGAGTCAAGTTCCCGCAAACGATACGTTCTCGCAAACGATAAGTAGTTCGGAACAGTCAAACATCAGCCACATACATCAGAACATCGACATGGAGTGGGCTGGATTGGTCTGGGGTAGACTGGATTGTATTAGGCTGGATTCGACTGGGGCGGACGCTGCTCCATTCAATTCGACCCTATTCTATTCTACTGAACCCTACGGCATCCGACTTTCGTCTACTATCTACTGCTTTACTCTGCCCTACCCTTCCTTCGCCTTCTCTATTCGACTCTACTCCCACTCTATTCCACCCTACTGTACTCTACTTTACCCTACTCTAGTATGTTCTCTTCCCCTTTCTTCTCATATTCTCATTCTATTCTGGTCAACCCTGCCACGCTACACTGTCCGCAGCCATTTTGGGTCAAACCGCTCGCCAGCGAACGAATCCCCTAGTACTCAAACCTGCTAGTCATGAGCTGCTGGGGGGCGCCCCCGCTTGCTGCTTGAGGACACGCCGCTGCGAGAGCCTCTCTGGGGCGCGGCGGCCGCGCGGCTGGCCGCCGACAGCCTGGTGAGGAAGTTCAGAAACGAGATCGAGAGGTTGCGCTGCGAGCTGGAGGCCCCGCGGGCGGCCCCGTCGCTCCGCGAAGGCGAGGCCGCGAGGTGCGAGGTTATCTTATCGCGCGGCCAGCTCCCCAGTCGCTTGTTCATGGCGTGCGGTTGTTCGGCGGGCGGCGGCTTCGGCGCAGCTGCGCGTGGTGAGCCGCGCGCTCCGCGGCAGGCCTGGGTGCAGGCCCAGACATGGCCGCGCCCAGGGGGCGCGGGGGCGCATGTGGCGCCGTCCGACAACGACGTTGCCGCGGTCCGTATCTGTGTGGCGAGCGTGGTGAACGCGAGGAGTGTGCAGGGGTCTGGACAAGCAGTCGGCCCCGCGGCGTGGTGCACGGCGGCGCCCGTCTTCGTTCGAGGCGCAGCGGCCCGCCCCATCGGGGTCGGGGCCGACGTCTTCAAGTTGTTAGCGTGCCCGACGGGGGTGGGGCCCCAGATGCATGCATAGGAGGAGGGGTGGTGGAGGAGGAGGAGGAGGAGGAGGAGGAGGAGGGGGATGATGATGATGAATGAGGAGAGAGGAGGAGGAGGAGGAGGAGGGATAGGAGAGAGGAGGAGGAGGGGGAGGAGGGAGGAGGAGGAGGGAGGAGGAGGAGGAGGAGGAGGAGGGGGAGGAGATGGATGCGCCGCGGCCGACGCCGGGCCCCCGGTCGATTCGAAATCGCAGGGGTGCCTGTCGCGCTAGACCCTTTCGGCTTTGGTTTTGGTTATTGCTCCCAAAGAACTCCCTCTGGGGCTGCGGCCCGCCCCGCCGGCCGCCCGGAAATCTCCCGGGATGCCCGGGGATGGTCGCCGAGGGTGTCGCCTGCTCCAGACGGCTCCAAGACGGCCCGATATGACCTCCAAGACGCCTCCAAGACGGCCGTCGCGGCCTCCAAGACGGTTCAGCTGGCCCCAATCTGCTTCCAATATGGCGCGATATGCCTCCAGGGCGGGCTAAGATAGCCTTCCCGCGGTTCAAGGCGGCCCAAAAGGCCTCCGGGAACCCCCCGAGACGCCCCCGAGAGGTCCTCGAGGAGGGCCCGAAGTGGCCCGGATCGTTGGCTTTCCGCCGGTTTTTTACAGGAGTTTGGCATCTGCTTCTTTTCGGCCATCCGACGGCCTTCCGACGGCCCAGGGCCCCCCGAAGATCACCCCGAAATCGCTTAAGAGGCCGCCAAAATGGCACCGCAACGACCCAGGAGGCCCCCAATACCGCCCCAAGAGGCCCCCCAGAGGGCCCAGGAAGCCTTTAAGACGGCCAAGATGGCCTCGAACACGGCCCTGAAGCACTCCGAAAAGGGTTCCCGGTCGGCCCAGAGAGGCCCCCCGAATGTTTCCAAGACGGCCCAGTATGCACCCGAGACGGTCCAAGATAGCCCCAAGATGGCCCATGACGGCCCCAGAAGCTCACAAGAGGCCTCCAAGACGACCCGCGAGGCCTCCAAGGGCTAAACTTATTGATTTTTTTTTATAAATTTCTATGATGGTTTTGGCGTTCGCTTCTTTTCGGCCTGCCGAAGGCGCGAAACGGCCCAAAAACCTAGAAAGATCGCTCAAGGGGCCTCCAGGACGGCCCCAGACCGGTCCAAGAGGCCCCCAAGACGGCCCCAAGAGGGCCCCCAGACGGCCCAAGAGGCCCCCAAGTCAGCCCAGGGAGGCCCCCAAGACGGCTTCCGACGGAATCGGACGTGCCAGGAATGCTCCGAGACGGCCAGAAAGGGGCCCTGAGCAGCACCCGAACGCACCCAACATGCCGAAAGAGGCCCCAACAATGCCTCAAAGAGGCTCCCAGGAAACTCACAGGATGCCCCGAGAGTGCTCCCAGAGCCTCCCGTGATGCCCCTGCCCCCTCCCTTATCCTCCTCCTTCTCCTCCCCCCTCCTCCCTCTTCCCTCCTCCCTCCCTCCTCCCTCCTCCCTCCTCCCCCTCCTCCTCCACCTCCTCCTCCTCCTCCACCTCCTAGTCCTCCCCCTCCTCCTCCTCCTCAGGCCGCGTTGAGACACTCGCGGGCTCGATTGGGCCAGCTTGGCGGTCTTGGCCGACATTTGGGCTAGAATTTGGCCAGGCTGTCGGACCATGAGTTGCCCGAGTGGATTTGGAAGGCTTTGAGGACGCGCCTACGTGGCCGAGAGTTGGGCTAGAGCTTGACCAAGCTGTCGGACCATGAGTTCCCCGGGTCGGTATGGAACAATTTTTCGGGGAAGACGTGGGGGGGGAAGAGAAAGAGGAGGATAAACAGGAAACGGGACAAAGGGGAGGATGCTTCTTCGGAGCCTCTTGAAACACTCTTGGGCTCGATTGGACCATCGTGGGGCCGTTTTGGAGACCGTGTCTGAACCGACTTGGGGCCCTCTTGGGGCGCTTCGGGTGTGCCTTGGAGGCCATCTTGGGCGTATTGGATGCATTTTGGGCCGTCTTGGGGCCGTCTTGGGGCCTTTTTGGGGGCTTCTTGGGCCGTCATGGGGCCATCTTGGAGGCCTCGTGAGCAATTTTGGAGGCCATATTGGGTGTCTCTTGGGCCGTCTTGAGGTCCTCGGAAGGCCGACGAGAAGCACATGCAAGCATCCTTCAAACACCGAAGGAAATCCAATGATTTGGGCCTCGTCGGGCCCTCCTTGAGGACCTCTTGGAGGCGTCTTGGGGGGCTCTTGGGGGCCTCTTGGGCCGTCTTGAACCATGCTGAGGCTATCTTAGGCCACGATGCCATCTTGGAGGCATCTTGGGGCCATCGGGACCGTCTTGAAGGCCGCGACGGCCGTCTTGGAGGCGTCTTGGAGGCCATCTTGGGCCGTCTTGGAGCCGTCTGGAGCAGGAAAGACGCTTGGTAACCTTCCCCGGGCAATCTGGAAGATCTTTCCGGGTGGCTTGCGGGACGGGCCGAAACCCCATGGGGAGTTGTTTTTGTTTTTGTTTCCTTTCTTCTTTTGTGTCTTATATATAAAGATATGTATATATGTATTAAAACATTAAAAAGAATAGAAAAACAACCAGCACCAACACCGAAAGGGTCTAGCACGCCAGGCACCCCTGCGATACATCGACAGCTGGGCTAGAGCTTGGCCAAGCTATCGGACCATGTGTTCCCCGAGTCGGTTCGGAAACGTTTCGTGGAACGCGGGGGGAGGAATGGGAGGAGGAGGGAAAGGAGGAACAAGACAACGGGGGAGGATGCCACTTCGGAGCCTCTTGAGGCACTGTTTGGCTCGACTAGATCATTTTGAGACCGTTTTGGAGGCCGCGTTGAGACACCCGGGCTCTATTGGGCCAGCTTGGCGGTCTTGGCCGAGATTTGGGCTAGAATTTGGCCAGGCTGTCGGACCATGAGTTGCCCGAGTGGATTTGGAAGGCTTTGAGGACACGCCTGCGTGGCCGAGAGTTGGGCTAGAGCTTGACCAAGCTGTCGGACCATAAGTTCCCCGAGGCGGTATGGAAAGGTTCTGGGGAAGACGTGGGGGAGGAAGAGAAAGAGGAGGATAATCAGGAAACAGGACAAGGGGGAGGATGCCTCTTCGGAGCCTCTTGAAGCATTGTTGGGCTCGATCGGACCATCTTGGGGCCGTCTTGGAGGCCATGTTGGGGCTATCTTGGGCTCTTTGGGGGCCTGCTGAGGGCCTCTTGGGGCCCTTTTGGGGCTTGTCGGGGGCTGTCTTGGCCGTCTTATGGCGTTCCTAGCCCGTCTGACGCCGTCGGGAGCCGTCTTGGGGGCCTCTCTGAACCGACTTGGGGCCCTCTTGGGGCGTTTCGGGTGTGTCTTGGAGGCCATCTTGGGCGTCTTGGAGGCCTCTTGGGCCGTCTTGGGGCCCTCTTGGGGCCTTCTTGGGGGCCGTCATGGGGCCATCTTGGAGGCCTCGTGAGCGATTTTGGGGCGATCTTGGGGCCATCTGAGCCGTCTTGAAGGCCATGCTGGCCGTTTTGGAGGCGTCTTGGAGGCCATCTTGCATCTTGGGCCGTCTTGGAGCCGTCTGGAGCAGGAAAAACGCTTGGCAACCTTCTCTGGGCAATCTGGAAGATCTTTCTGGGTGGCCGGCGGGACAGGCCGAAGCCCCAGGGGAGTTCTTTTGGAAAAACAACCAACACCAAAACCGAAAGGGTCTAGCACGCCAGGCACCCCTGCGATGAATTGACAGGGGGCGGCGGATCGAACACGCCTACGGCGAATCACCGCCGCCCCCTGCCTTTTTGGAAGCGCCTATGTGGCCGAACGTTGAGGCCAGACCTGCCAAGCTATCGGACCATGTGTTCCCTGAATCGGTTTGGAAAGCCTTCGGGGAACACGTGGGCATTTTGAAGGTCATCTTGGCCGCCTGGAGGCTATTTTGACGCTTTCGGGCCTTCTTGGAGGACGTCTTGGAGGGCTCTTGGGCCGTCTTGGAGGCCATCTTGAGCGTCTTGGAGGCCTCTTGGGCCGTCTTCAGGGCTTCTTGGGGCCGTCTTGGGGCCTCTTGGGCGATCTTTGGGGGCACTTGGGCCGTCTCGGGCCGTCGGAAGGCCGAAAGGAAGCAAACGCCACAATCCTTCAAAGACCTTAAGGCACATCAATGTTTCTTGCCTTTTTGGGCCTTCCTGGAGGCCGTCTTGGAGGCCTCTTGGCCCGCCTTGGGCCATCTTAGTGCCATCTTCGGCCGTCTTGGTGGGCCCCTGGCCCGTCCGACGCCGTCGGAAGCCGTTTGGGGGGTCTCTCTGAGCCGACTCGGGGCCCTCTTGGAATGCTCCAGGGCCGTCTTGGAGGCCATCTTGGGCGTCTTAAAAGCCTCCTGGGTTGTCTTGGGGGCCTCTTGGGGCCGTCTTGGGGGCCTCTTGGGCCGTTCTGGGGCCATCTCGGAGGCCTCTTGGGCAATCTTTGGGCGATCTTTGGGGGCTCTTGGGCCGTATCGGGCCGTCGGAAGGCCGAAACGAAGCAAATGACAAAATTCTTCAAACACCCAGGAAAGAGCAGTGGTTTTGGCCTTTTCTGGCCTTCCTGGAGGCCCTCTTGGAAGCCTCTTGGGCCGTCTTGGGCCAGCTTCGAGCCAACTTCGGCCATCTTGGTGAGCTTCTGGCCCGTCTGACGCCGTCGGAAGCCGTTAGGGGGAGCCTTTCTGGGCCGACTTGGGGGCCCTCTTGGGGTGCTCCAGGGCCGTCTTAGAGGCCATCTGGGGCGTCTTGGAGGCCTCTTGGGTCGTCTTTGTGCCCTCTTGGGGCCGTCTTTGGGGCCTCTTGGGCAGTCCTGAGGCCATCTTGGAGGTTTCTTGGGCGCTGTGGGGGCGATCTTGGGGGCCTCTTGGGCCGCCTTGGGTCGTCGGAAAGCCGAGAAGAAGCGAATGCCAAAATCATTAAAAAACCAATGGACAATCAATGATTTTGACATCCCTCCTGGAGGACCTCTTGGAGGCCTCTTGGGCCGTCTTGGAGGCCTCTGGGAGGCCTCTTAGGCCGTCTTGGACTCTCTTGGGCTGTCCTGGAGGCCGTCTTGGACCATCTTGGGCG